TGTAACGTGTATACGAGCTAGTTTCCCTTAGAAAGTCCTACACGAAAGGCATCCCTCCCCTTAGGCAGATAGCCCTAGTGTGCTTTGCCATAATTAAATACACCAAAAATTCTTTCTCGAAACAAGCAATTTGTTTTATACATTTTCATACAAAGTAAAGGAAAACGACTTTTGGACTATTTTTGTGTGTGTGTGTGACTTTTTTCTATAGTTAGGTTTATTGACAGAAAACCACCATCCTGTGGGACCATTCCTTTCGACTCCCATCCATACCGAGGGAACATCTTAAACAAACATGCAACACCTTGAAAGGGTTAAACATAAGAAGTTTTCCCACAAAAAAAGCTATGACATATTTTGTTTTAATAAACTGACTTCAATAAAAGTTTTAAACAGTTCTGTCAAATAAATGATGTTATTTTTTTGATGTAGTCAAGTTTTTGCACAGTTTTTTGTCTGTTTTCAAGGAAGTCCAGTACTGAGTCAAATAGAAAAAAAAAAAAAAAAAAAAAAAAAAACTATTCTGACAAATAAATATCTTTTGAGACCCAATGAACTGTATGCAGCTGCTAGCGGTTGTACAAAGGCTGTTCACACGCCTTTTTAGAAGATTTTGCTTTGCTATAAAAAATTCATCTGCTTGGAATTTTTTTTTTTTTTTTTTTACTCCAGCTATATTTTTGGAAGTATTAATTAATTATCATCTACTATTTGACAGTTTTGTTTACACATAAAATGGCAGTTTTAAAGAAGCTATGTCTGTGCTTTTTCCGAAGAAAATTATTTGTAGCTACTTATTACAAAACACCATGAAAGCCATAGTTTTTTTTATATCTAAAACTACAATAGGTAATATTGTGAATACGGAAAAAAAGGTCCATGTTTAGCTTCAAGTGGAAAAATTGTTCCAAATACATATCCAAGCAAAAAACAGAATGTTTCAAATTTTGTGAAGGCAAGATTTTTAATCTTAAAAGAAACTATGCCAAGTCAAAGGACAGTAGCAAAATCATTAAAATGCTCACTGTCAACTGTAAGCAAAATGATTAATGCTAATATGAATCTTAAAAAGGTTAAAAAAACGTGTGTCGTCTTTCTCTACGACATATCGCCATATGCAGAATTCTTTATAAGAAACATTTATCTGGGAAAAAATGGGAAAATGTTGTCATAATAGATGAATCTTGGGTGTATTTAAATGACCGCAATAGAAAAAGATCCATTTATTATCATTCAAGGGGAGAAAAAATCTTAAAACATGGCTCAAAGAATCCAAAAGAAAGTTTTTCAAAGGGATTTATGATTGTTGCTGGTTTTTCATAGAACGGCAAATTAAAATTAAAGAGAGTGGAGAAAAATGTTATGGTCAGTTCCACATATTATCAGGAACATACCTGATATCTAGTTTTCAAATATGAAATCTTCTCTTTAGTCGCAGTCACATGTCAAAATCCACTATTAATTTCCTGGAAAAAATGAAACAATGATCAGGGAGCAAACCCCTACCCTTCATTCATATTTCTACTAAATATTCTGATGTATCATTCATGGATTTTTGCACATTTTGACTTCTAAACAGCAGATTGTCCAAACATCGACCTACAATCCTCCTTCTTTGAAAAGCTGTTCAAAAGGAATGGGATAAAACACCTCTTCCGATATTAAAAAAGGCTTTATTGTTTTTTAAATTACAATGTATAAAGATAGAGAACAATAAGGGTTATCAAACAGAACATTTAAAACACAAAAATTTTAGGTAAGATATATCCATAAAAAAAAAAAAAAAAAAAAAAGGAAAATCGTCTAAAAATGTTCAAACAGGCTCTATAGTCTTGATTTTCAAAGTTGGCTACATAATCTGTTGTGCAAGGAACTGCTTCTTATCCTCTTGACTGCTTTGATATTGTACTGAAGCAATGTATGCTGGCATTCATTCAGATTTTTTGCAACTGAATGTTGATGATGAATAACACATATATAGCATGTTCATGGTATTAAATAGCAGTTCTTTCTTTGTATCAGTTCCTGTTTAAATCTTTAGCGTATATTAACACTTCACAAATTTTTTCTTCTTTTATGAGTCGAACATGCTTCGTAGCGGATTCATTGAGTTGAGTAATTGCATAACAATATTTAAACATCATTAGCCATTTCACCTATTATTCTTTGCACCAAATTATTATTCAGAGGAATTTTTCTGATAATATCCGATGGTGTCTTGTGATGAAGAGCGATTTTTGTTGCCTTTAAAAATGCTGGCAACATTGATTCCTTGCCAGTTGTGCATGGTTCTCATATGAGGCTCCTAGTCTATCATCATCTTGTTTACAAGACGATGAAGAAGGTTTGATACATTTTGCTGTTTTAAATATTTCTTTTCCAGTCCTAAATCGGATACATCTTGATGCCTTTCATCAGTATGCATTTTATTCAAATGCTCATGCAGCCAAGAAGGCTTTATTTGAAAAAACATTTTAGAAAATTAAGTGAATAAGTAATGATTGGTTTATAGAAGAGTGCAGAAGAACTTCACATTTCAAATACTCAGTATGGTACTTCAGACATTTTAAAATGCAAAATTTGCACAGTTTAAATAAATTTTTCAAGATTTATACATAGTGCACTTGCTCTCTAAGCAAGTCACTATTAACTACAGTATAAAGTCTGTAATCCGGACCTCAAAGATACAAATTTTATGCGCATGCATGTTTAATGTATAACAGACGGTATAAGCTAGGCTAAAATTATCTAACGCATTTCAGTTAATGTTGCAGATTGCGCTGTTTCTAATTTTCTAATTGGATCTGGCTTATTATTTTTTTTGCAGACTGTTAGAGCAATTTTATAAAAATTACGCTTGAACTTTCGATGATGTCAAAAAGAGTTTCCAATTCTGGAGCTGTCAAAGGAACTACAAAGTGAAAGCACGTTTCGATGTCCATTAAACAAAAAAGTGGCATTGCTGCAAAAAATGGATAAAGGCATATCCATCTGAAAATTATGTGAGAAGTATGACATTGGAAAGTCAACTGTATATGACATACGCAAAAAGAAAAGAGAACTTTTCGAATTTTTTGTGGAAACTCTTAAACAACTTACATTGAAAGAAATGTTTAATAAAGTAACAAATTAATATTAGCTTTTTTTTTTTTTTTTTTTTTTGTAAATTTTGATACCCTTTATATCATAATTGTTCTTTATTTCATATTTTTAATTGTATAATTTCTGCATGCCATCTTACCAGATTTAAATATATGATCTATAATCCAGAAAAACCCCTAATCCGGAATCGCCGAAGTCCAGACGAGTCCGAATTACGGACTTTGTACTGTACCATATTTTTGTCATACTATACATGATTGTGTGAATCATGTCATTGCTTACCAACTTGCAAAGACTTGTCACAGATAATTATTAAACCGAATTAGGTCTATGTATACCCAATGCTAATTAAAAAAATTTAATGCTTATTCAAGAGAAACCGAATCAGATCCATTATTAAGAACATATAGATTGTTGAATAACATAAAAATAACATAAGTTAAATAAACTGTTTATTCATGAAAACAGCAGGTATTTTCAAAATACTGTATTATATTAATTTCCTAAAGAGGTAGGTATGGCATGGCTGCCCCTCTTACCCCATTTCCTTCTCGACCCATTACCAATTCCATGAAAGGCTTCAGTGCCTGCACTGGGAGGGGGAAGGGCATTACCATCCCCATTGAGAACATTTGCAATAGAAGATAATGAAAACAGGTTGTATAAATTTTATTTTCTCACAGATTCCTATATTGCAAACATATCTGCAGATCTCTATTGCTTCATGACTTCCCAAGTTTCATATTTTGGCGAGATAGTAGTCCACCATGCTTCCATCAAAATTCTACCACAATTTTTAGTTAAGATTGTTCCTGTTGATTGTTGTTAGAAGGTCCAACTGTTTGGATACCAAATTATTTGGACATGAATATAGTAAATATTTTCGTATGGAGTTTTATCTAAGATACTACAGATTGTCATATAGATTGTATAGAGTTTTATGTAAGATTAAGAATCCCATTACAGATTATTTTATAGGTTTATATTACAGAAACATCTACAATTTGGAGCAAACATAATTAAAGTCATAATTGTGGAAAATACGTGGCAAAAATTGAAGTATTGTTTTGATGCTTCTCAGATCAACAAAGATACCTGACACTGAATTTTATAAATCTTTATAGAAACTTGGTGAGTTATTCTGTGCAATACAATATATGTCTAACGTTACAGATGTTGAAATATGTGTATGTATGCATATTCTGGAAAAGTATTTTGATGCTGATGACTATAAAGAGTTATATGATTAGAGTTTTTACGATTTTGATTGTCACATTAGCGTGTTTCTCTTCTAGTCTAGCTGCCCTCGAAATCGATTGAGTGTTTCATTATACCTACGCTAAATATAAGGTTGTTTTTTACGATTTTGAGAGTTATATGCTTTGAATAATTTTTGCTCATACATCAAATAAATTTTAATAACAAATGAATGGAAAATAATGCAGTTACCTTTGGCAGAGAATAAAACATTGGAGCTAAAGCAAGTAAAACTACTAGAAGAAAGCCACAAGAAACTATTGCAGCAACCTAAAAGAAAATCAGATTATGAATAATTATAATATAATATTATACACATATTTATATATTTCTACGAACACCTCACAAAATAGCTGATTTCAAACTAAAATTTAATAGCAGTAATAAGTACTACAGTCAAAAGTCGTTAATTTGGACACCCATAATCCGGACCTCAAAGCTACAAACTTTCTGTGCATGCGTCGCGTTACGCATATGCGTTTAATGTATAACGGACGGTATAAGCTAAAATTATCTAATTATCTATTTCAGTTAATGTTGCAGATTGCGTTGTTCCTTAATCTTCGATTTGGATCCGGCTTATTATTTTTTGCAGACTGTTAGAGCAATTTTATAAAATTAAGCTTGAACTTTCGATTATGTCAAATAGAATTTCCGATGCTGGAGCTCCCAAAGGATCTACAAAACGAAAGTATGTTTCGATGTCCATTAAAAAAAAATGCTGAAATTGCTGCAAAAAATGGCATGAAGAAAGTGAACAGAGGTTAGTGAAAACGAAAAAAATTTCGATTGACAAGTTAGTGGTATTCTCGGCACAGCAATTAACAGGACTTGAACAGCGGAAACTTTGTAAAGTGAACAAGAAATTATGTCTGTTTATATAGAATTAAAGAGAAAGTATTATCACATAAAACACAAGCAAACTTAAACAACTTACATTAAAAGAAGAAATGTTTAATAAAGTAAACAAATAAATATTAAGCTCATATTTTTTTCATAAATTTTGATACCCTTTAAATCATAATTGTTCTTTATTTCATAAATTACGGTTTCGTATTTTTAATTTTATAATTTCTGCATGCCATCTTACCAGATTTAAACCGATGATCTATAATCCGGGAAAAATCGATAACCCGGAATCGCCGAAGTCCCGATGAGTCTGGATTAACGACTTTTGACTGTACTATAAACGTTTTAGTTGAAATATTCCTAAATCTTCACTGAATCATGAATTAAATGTTAAAAATTTTCAGTTATGTCACTGGGTTAAAAATATATTAACTTTAAATGCAAATTTATATGAGAAAATTACAAAGCATTTAAATCCTGCAACGTTTCCTTTGTTAATTCATATATTGCAGACACTGACAGTTAAAAGCACAGCAAAATTTGTTTTCTAATGCATAATTAAATAGTCACTATATTCATAATATACAAATAGGATAGACCTTTCCAAAATTATAATTTTGGATGTAATAAGCAATTGCCTTAATTAGCAGAATAAATATGCATTTTTTCATTTGAAATGGGGAACAGTTTTAAATATAATACCAATTATTAAAACTTATGCATTTCAACATGTGCTTCATAATAAATAAATGAGACATAAAAATAATATATTTTCAAAATAAAGGATATGATAATAAGAGTGATATGATTTTAAAACAAAATGGCAACCATGTTTAAAATGCTATCACTGTCACTAATTTTTATTTGTGTTTTAGTATGCTCCCATTTTATCACTGCTAAATACATGCTTCAAGAATGTTAAATTTTTAACAAAAAACTATCTTCTCAAATGAAGCAGATTTCTAATTGACGGGATATATTAATACAAAAATCTTTCATTTTTGGCCTGAAAACAATCTATAAGAGATTCACAAACCTCTGCATTTGAAAAAAGTCATAGTATACCACTGTTTATGCCATAGTGGCATCATCAGACTACAGTCAAATGTCTTTAATCCGAAATGGTCTATAATCCCGACTTCAAAGCTACAAACTTTCTGCGCATGCGTAAATGCATTATGCATTTACGCATGCGCATTTAATACATAACGGACGGTATAAGCTAAGCTAAAATTATCTAATTATCTATTTCAGTTAATGTTGCAGATTGCGTTGTTCCTTAATCCTCTAATTGGATCCAGCTTATTATTTTTTGCAGATTGTTAGAGCAATTTTATAAAAGCAAGCTTGAACTTTCGATTATGTCAAAATAAATTTCCGATTCTGGAGCTCCCGAAGGATCTACAAAGTGAACGCATGTTTCGATGTCCATCAAATAAAAAGTGAAATTGCTGCAAAAAAAAATGGATAAAGGCATATCCTTTGTTTCTCTAACCATTCCGAAATCTGTTTATCAATTCCACACTGCTGTGTGGGGATGGGGGGACGTCACTGTGCGCAATGAACTGGAAGTTTATCTGTCAGCACTATCCTTATCTTCGGAGCAGATGTTTTTATTTTATTCAGCTTATAATTCCTTACTAAGTGTAGTATTTCATCTCGATGTACTTCGTCTTTCATATGATTTAAATCAAATTCCTCATCATTATAAATATCACGAATACACATCAAATAGTTTTCTGGTTGCATTTTCTAATTTTGACATTGCATAACGTACTCTTTACGCATGCGCGCGTTGAAAGAAATGTTTAATAAAGTAAACAAATAAATATTAAGCTTTTTTTGGTAAATTTTGATACCCTTTAGATCATATTGCTCTTTTATTCATGAAAACGTTTCATATTTTTAATTTTATAATTTCTGCATGCCATCTTACCAGATTTAAACTGATGATCTATAATCAGGAATCGCCAAAGTCCCGATGAGTCCGGATTAATGACTATTGACTGTATTTGTTTTTACAAAACAAGAGAGGAAATGCAGTTACAGTAACTCATGAGTGAATGAGCATTACTGATTGATGATAACAAATTTTTTATTGCCAAATTTAGCGGGCTCTGATTTGGGGGACACGTGGTTCCAACAAGATAGTGCCACATGACACACTACTAATGCCATTATCAATGTCTTGCCAAAACAATTTTGGTGAAAGGATAATTTCACACAATGCAACTGTTAGTTGGATTACCCAAATTTGTAATTTAATTCCTTTAGATTATTTTTGTGAGGTTATTTGAAATCAATAATCAATGTGAACAAACCACAAACCCCTGAAGCATTTAGAATAAACATTGGATGCTGTATTTGTGACATCATGCCCAAATTATTCATACAATCATTGAAAATTGGGTTTACTGAATTCATTCATGCGCACTAAGTCAAGACGCACACTTAAACGATGTTTTATTCAGAACATAATGTCATAAATTATGCTTCAAAATAAAATCTTTTTATTAGAACACCATTTATAAACATTGATAATATCAATATCTTTCATACAATTTTAAGTATATTAAAATAATAATACATTAAATTTTCAAACTGCCCCCTCAAAAAAAAAAAAAAAAAAAAAAAAAAAAAAAAACTATCCATACCAGTTGTAGGGATATAGTAACATAAATATAATCAGATGAAACAACAGTTATATACCAGTTTTCCACCAGCTTTTCTTGAACCACTTGGGATATGAAGTGAGCATGGATAACAGGAAAAGAATGAAGAAAAAACATTTGCACAACCTAAAGCTACTAGTTCCTAAAAATAAATATATAATATAAATGCACAATAACTTAAAATAACTGCACTGACCCCCCCCCCAAAAAAATGAAAGCTTTCAGATTTTATATTACGTCTAAAGGGGGATTTTTTTAATGTTTTGTATGTTACCTTTATTTATTAAATATCATGTTCCTTGCACTTAAACTATAAAATTAAATTCAATAGCAATATCACAAAATATTTTAAAAAGCATATCTAGAATTTCTGATATACTCGTGCACTGGAGAATTTTTTTCCTTTTTCTTTTTGTGCGTGTGCATACAGTGTTGCCATTGCTTACTTTGAAATTGTAGAGTTTTATTAATCAAAAACTCATAAATCCTTGACAAAATATGAAACAGATAATAAAACAAATTCCAAATTAGGGCTTCCAGATGCCCATATTCGAGTGGTGAAGCTTATTCAATCTGATGGCTCTAGTTCCGTTGATTATCCACATGCAAAAAACATACATACATTTATGCAGATTCTTCATTATTTAATTTCTTTAAATATAATACAGGGCTCTAATATTTGGTGGCAAACAATTTAAAAAGTGATTCATCATTTATAGTGAATCAATGCAAAATGCCAAAAAAAAAATTCACGAAAGACTTGTGCCATACAAACGCATTTGGTAGGCATTGTGACGTTACAGCTATTAGCACCCCCCCTCCCCGCGGGCACAGGTGCTGAATTATAACTTCCTGTTTTGTTTTGCGGATAAAGGACCTCCCTGCAAAAGCGGACTGCAGATAAAATCCTAGAGTCGGACACAAGGAACGCGATACAAACGAGTGAATCTTTGTGTAAGAGTTCTTTTTGTGATTTTGAGGTGACGGACCATCTTTTGCTTTTTAAACAACGCCAGTGGTTTCTGTAGAACAATAGTTTTTTTATGCTGCCACTACAGTAAAAAGGACTTTTTGCGTCCAATCTGCGTTAGTGGATATTGTATGATTTAGGGCTGTAATGATCAGTTTATTTTTATGTTTTAATCAAGAAATCTATTTTAGTGTATCAAATAAATAATTTAAAAGACGACCTGTCTTTCTTTCACCCGACACAGGTGTCCTGACGTTACAGCATATTTATACATTTGAAAGCTTACGTCTATTCAAATTTCGCACTTTGCACATAACTGTGGCTCTAGTAGCACTACTATACATATGCAAATCAGGTTTGCTGTAAATACACGCTGCAAAGTTTGCGAGCATTATTTATCACTGAGCTTTGACATAGAGTTTATGTTAGTAAAGAATGCCTTTGACAAAAAAGCTTTTATCCCCAGCTCAGTGAGCTTGAATAAGGTCATGTAATAGGGATATGAAAAGTTGATTTTCTTTCCATGATATTGTAGAAAGATTTGGCAAAAATGTATCCACTGTGCATGATTGTTGGCAGCAGCGGTCAAAGGAAGGTACCGGCTCAAGAAGACCAGATTCCTGGCAGCCATGTGGCACTACCGAGAGGGAAGACCACCATGTTCGGAGTATGGCTGTGGCGTATCATACTGTGTTTACAGCTGAAATTGGCACACAGTGACACAATGAACTGTTACAAATTGGTTACTGGAAGAACAATTCTGAGCCAGATGCTCTGTACATGTGTTCCCAACTCCAAACTCTGCCATTAGCTGTCAGTGGTGTCAAACTGGAGCTCATTGGAGGACGGAGTGGAGACCTGTTGTGTTTTCTGATGAAAGCTGTTTCTGCCTTGGTGCGAGTGATGGCCATGTGTTAGTTAGCAGGATGGCAGACAAGCACCTGTAACCAACTTGTTTGTAGCCTATATACTGTGGACTTATACCTGGAGTTGTGGTCCGAGGAGAAATTTTGTATGATAGCAGGAGCACTCTCATGATTATCCCATGCACCCTGACTGCAAATTTGTACGCAGTCTTATAATTCAACCTGTTCTGCTGCCATTCATCAACAGCATTCAACGGGGTGTTTTCCAACAGGATAATCTGTTGCAATCCAACTTGATCTACAGAGTGTCCACATGTTGCACTGGCCTGCTAATATCGGCAGAATTTTCTCCAATCGAGCATGTATGGATCGTCATTGGATGACAACTTCAGCATCATACACAACCTGCATTAACTGTCCCTGTAATGACCAATCAAGTGCAACTGGCATGGAACTCTATCCCACAAATTGACATCTGGCACCCATGTGACACAATGCATTCAAAATTCTGGCGGTTACACCAGTTATTACTGTACCAGCATTTTACATTTGAAATGACTCTTCTCGAGCTTGCATTAACTTGTGATCTTAAAAATTTAATCAATTAAAAATGTTATTTAGACAAATGTATTGCCGAAATTTGATTATTCTACATTAATTTTTTTCTTGGTGTAGGGATTTCTCCCCCCCTATCAGTTTATATTATTAACCCTCTAACCATGAAATCCATGAATAACACATTCAACATTTATCCTGAATATAAAAGGAACATTCTTAATGCATTGCCATTTAAAATTTCCAGTTCACTCATGCAGTAGCTGCTATTCTTTTGCTAGTTTATGATTTCATTTGAATCAAAGTCTCTCTTTTTATGAGTTTTGTACCCACAGTTGGAGGGTTAAGTCAAGTCTGTTAATAAAAACAAACTTCTTAAATGCATTGATAGTAGTTGCTAATAGAGGATGGAGAGTACATAATTAAGCATGATATAATAATTTGTAACATTCATTCAAAGCAAAAATCACGTGAAATTATCAAAGATATATATTTATTATCAATGATTTTTAATGATTCGTTGAGTTTTTATTGTATTTGAAAAAGCATAAAAAATTAATTACTTCGAAAATTAACACATATACAGAAAGAAAGTAACTTTAAAGGGAACTAATAATTTATGATAAAATACATATAACGTGTATGAAAGAAGAAAAAGTTTTACCAAATTTTTTAACTATCAGCTGATATAATAACAAGGGTATCAACAAATCATTTGGCAAGTCCTTCATCATGCAAAATAAAATAACTGCAATGTAAAGATACTTTGAAGTAAGGATACTACGAAGCCAATTTTGAAAATCCTGAAATATCATTGGTGATACTTAAATGAATAACCATAGACATTAATTTATAATTAATATGGACTTGGGTTACAAATTTGGATGGTACTTGCGTATCAATACAACCACATTGGCACAATTTTCAGATTTTTTGTAAATGAAAGGTAAATGTTACTTATTGGGTGCATGCTGGTGGTTTTCACAACTAGTTTGAAAATGTTCCTAAACGGTTTATATTTATAATAAATTGGCAAACATTATCAACATTTGGAAAGAAAATGTACTTTACCAGTTTAAAATACAAATTTTAATTAGTAAATAAAGATTATAAAAATTAATTATTAAAAAACATTAAAAAATAAAATACTTATATTCACCTCCAAATATTTCTATTTTTGTGCTATTCTTCTCCCTGGGTGCACAGCAATCTATTTTTGCTTAAAAAAATCAGAAATTTACAGACTTGGCATCACATAAACCTGAGCAAAACCCCCTACTTACCAAAAGCATTTCTTTTTTTGTTCCCTTTAGAGATTTTGCAGTAAAATTCTGTATTCCTGCAGAAATTTTACTGCAGTTTCTTCCAATTAAAGCAAACATTTTAAAGTATGAAAACTGCAATGTTACTTGACTGAAAGATTCTTGGTTATGCACATAGTTGCCAGACTTTTGGCACATTCAGAAAATTTGGTGACTTCTACTAAGGTAGTTGTAATAACATGAAAGTACCATTCTGATATGTATCAAATGAATAATTCTTTCATGTATAGCTCCAAACATAACCTGTGATTTATAAAAAGTATGATGAGTATTTTTATCTCTAGTGTTTTAAGACTGATTATCTCTACGTATAATAAAAGAGAGTCTGTGTGTGTGTGCCTTTTGTTCACGCTGCGCTTAAGCTAATAGACCCACGGCTAAGAAATTTGGTACCTAGGTGCATCTAGACAAAAGCCAGTGCACCTTGAAGCGATTTTTTCAAAATTTGAATTTTTTTATGTTTTGTGACGAAATCTCGTCATTTTGAGACATATGAGCTATAGGAAAGCGAGATTTTACCCTACACACTCCATTTTCACATCGTCATGAAACATAGGCACTTAGCTATTTTACGAACTTAAAATAAATTTCGTGTTCCAATAAATCAATTAAATACGAATTTATTTAACAAAGGGAGCTTAACACCTTTTCAACGGTTTTTTCTAAAAAAGTTTATTTTTAAAAAGTACAGTTTATTTTTCTTTGATTTTTGGACACGTTAAACTTTTCAAATCCTTGGACTGCTTTTACAAAAGGAATTTTGGAAAAATGGATAATATTTTGTATTTTTTAAAAAAATTTTTTTAATGAAGCTTCCGAGTACACTTCTCACACATCTTTAAAAATGTGATTTTGGCAACAATTTCCTGTCTTATTGTTGTTGATAGATTTTTGATGAAATCGCATCATTTTAATAGTTTCATTCTTTTAGAATATGGGTTTGGCAACAATTTTTCATCGTATTTCTTATGTCACATTTTTAAGAGATTGGCATATTTCATTGTCATTTCTATATATATATACATTTTCTTGATTTTTTTTTGATAAAGTTGTTCTGCAGAGTAAAACTTTGCGGGAATTTTATGTTTTTGAGTTGCTTCATGTTATTTTTTTGCTATTTCACTGTTTGAACATTGAAAGTTTGCATGATTTTTTTTTTTTTTTTCTTCAACGGAAAGTTGGTTAATTTTTATATTAGGATAATTAATATTCGTATTAAGGGATATAGCTTATTTCATTGTAATTTTTTTCTCTTGAAAATGTAACATAAAATATCATTAATTATACTTTGCTTTTCAGAATTTTTTTGTTTTTTTGTATTCTTTTATGTTATTTATTCCTCATTTCACTGTTTTTAAAATATCGAAAAGTTTTGAGTGATTTTTTTAGGAAACAAAGTTTTTAACCTCCTTTATACCATTTGAGTTCTTAAGATTTTGCAAAGGGAAGTTGGTTAATTTATTTATTAGGATAATTAATATTTGTATTAAGGAATATTGCTTATTTCATTGTAATTTTGTTATGTGTAATAACTCTTTTTTATGAAATTGTTCTGCAGAGTAAAATTCTACGCAGTTTTTAAATTTAATGTCTGGTGTTTCCTTCAGCCATTTTTCCGCTACCTTTAAAAGCCAGACAAAGGCCCGCAGCGAAGCTGCTAGTATTATATATAACTACCTACCTTCTGAAATTACTTAAGTAAATGGGTTTCAGTGAAACTAAACAAATGTAACTATTTAAAATTCATCAAAAATATGGATGAGTGTCAAAATAGTGAACCATCTCACTATGACAAATACCTCTCAAGTTGACTACATTTCTGAGAATGTAAATAAACACTTGTCAAAAGGTCATTTTTATCCATTTATTTTGAAAAGGTTGAATTTGTTTATTTTGAACTATGTTCACAGAACATTCATATCACCTGGTCATCACTACACTTTCTGAACAGACTTTCCACTATATTTTGAAAATTCTTTCTCAGAACTGCATTCCATTCGTCTTTAAAATATGTAAACGCTTTAGATAGAACAGCCACAGATCAAATGGTTAATCCTTTTTATAATCAACCTAAACATTCTTTTTGGGAATGAGGTTCGGTGAAGATAAGAGAAGTTTATCTAAATTTGTATCAAGCTATTTTTTTACACAGTTTGTTCCGTCAAGAGACATATGAAGTTGAAGGAAGAAAGGGGTTTGCTGAACTATTGCCATAAACTCAAAAGACAAAGAATTGTGAATAATGTTTTAATAGCTTGGAGTTTAGAAATTTCATCACAGGAATCAAACAGCTTGATCATGAAACTCCTACCATGGTATCTTGTCTCCTAAACTTCCATGATTAACCATGCAAACTAATGATATGCTTTTCTAACATTCACTAAATACAATCCTATTCATCAGATGGCAGATTAGCAATTTTGATTTATTACACCATTAGAATGCACTTAGTTTTATACTTCTGTATCTTATGTGTGGGGGTATCTCACATTCATGGCTTTGTGTGATGCTTTTGATAATAATTACTGTATTTCCATCAGGAAATTCCAAAAGTACTATTTAACAAAATCATTTTTAAAGTTCTGGCCATGAAGAAACTATGAAACTATGTCATAATGAAGGCAGTCAACACAGAATGCTGTCTTTCCCAAAGAAAACACATTTAACAATTTAACTCAAGTATCCTGCACTTTGATTAGTGATTTTTACTGAAGCCTTAGATATTGAAGTAAGTACTTTTGTTACACTCGCAAAACTACTAAAAATGTTCTTACATTGTGGAGAAAAACACAGATAAAAAATTCCAGTACATGATAGCTATAGTTTACATGTAGACAATGATCTATTAAAATCAAATACATTGTTTCATATTCACTTAAAATTTTTCATTTACTCATGTCAGAAGTGTTAATGTAAAAAAGGGAACAAATCAAAATATTTGGAACATTCTAAAGACACGAGACAGCAAGGGGGGGAAAAAAAGTATATCTTACTTGATTTGGTCGAATGGAGTATTTATTTTTCTTTGACAAAAGTTTCGCCATTGATAATGAGATGGCAAAGGCAACTATGGCTATGGCAAAACTATCTGTTACAAGAAGGTGAAGTATATCAAATCTTGGTGCAACCGGTGGAGGTAACCTACAGGAAAGAGAAGATAACAGAAATAAAATTAAAACTTTCCACTTCAAAAACTTACTTTAAGAAAAATTAAAAACTATATTGAATTAACTTACCCAGTTGGTATATCTTTCATAATCGATACTGCATAGTTTTCATGGAATTTACCAAAATATGATGCAGTGGTAGCGAGCACAACCTAAAATATTTCTGATAATCACAGTCTGGTATTGAATCTTTTTTAATTACATAAAACAAATATATATGTTGTTCAGCTATATATTAAATGAAAAACTGGTAATATTTCAAGAAGTAGCTCCGATGAGAGAAGATTTAAGGCATCGTACACAGCAATTTTGAAATTCACAAACTTAGAACATGTAGGCACTTGTTTCCTTTCATCAAAGCTTTAAAACTTAGATCAAAATACATGTAGCATATCTAGAAATATGCATGATTCAGCTTTCTGAAAAATAATATTCTAACAAGACTGGATTCCATCTCATTTTGAGAACGATGTATCGCATGATTCTCAGTTTTTCAAATTTAATCCTATCTTACGTTTTCCTCTAGGGTTACAGTCTAAAAAGGACTACTCTTAATTTTGTTGCGTGCGTACGGGTTTGTTACGAAATTAATGCACAAGTCCGATGAAAAATGAACAAAAATTTATTATTATCACAACAAAAATGCTTAAATTTTCTCAAATTATCATGCAGTATTACAATATATCACAGTAGTTATCTTTTAACTACTCAAATGTCCAACAGAACGTAATTCAAAACAGCTAAAGAAAGCTAATCCGCGAATTCGCCACAATCAACAAGAGCAGTTTTCTAAACAACAACAAACTAAGCAACTACTAGGAACTGAGATGTTTCCTCCTTTATAAGATTTTTAAAATTACGCGCTAGAATTTTTCTAGTACTTTCTCGAAATCAAAAAGAGATATTTATTTATTTAATGCATGCGCTCTTGTATTTTCAATTTTCCGGCTTAGCTTTCTTTAATATTCGTCACGCGCTGCACTGCGCGAGAAAATAAAACCATTTAATTTATAATTGAACTAATTTAGCTTTTTAAATACCAAATTCGTAACACTGCCCCCCCCGTCCAAGGACTGTCTTTGTCCGGGCAGTACAATCCCTGGACAGGAGCAAACTTACAACTGAGGCATAAGCATTACATTACAATATCAAAACAACATGAAAATAAATGTAATAGATACTTAAACAAATCAAATACTAAATGCTATCAATACTAAATAAAATCAATCAAATACACATTTAAAAACAAAAAGGACCATGGTCTTATACTATTTACAATTATTTACATTACGTACTATGGCCATAGCAATGAGCTAACCTGTCGTAATGAACAACTTTAGGTTTAGAGTTCAAAGACTTACAGATCCGAACCAGGACATCATTCAGCCTGTTTATGACTGTGTATGGACCATCCCAAGGTGACTGTAATTTCGGACAGAGTCCCTTCCGTCGAGTCGGATTCCACAACCACACCTTGTCTCCTTCGTGGAATTGATGTTCAGTAGCTCTTGTGTCGTATCGGGTCTTCATCTTCTCCGTCGCTAAGTTGACTCGCTCTTGTGCAAAGTTGTGCATCACTTCAAACCGGGCCTGGAGATCTTGAATATATTCCTCAGGCGATTAAGTAGCATCCACAGGGCGACCAAACAAGATCAATCACAAGGCAGACGAAGGTCACGACCGAAGAGCATCTATGATGGGGAATAGCCGGTAGTCTCGTGGACAGCACTGCAGTTAGCCAGTAGAAACAGTGGTAATTTCTTGTCCCAATCCTGTTGGTTTCTGGAAACCACTAATGAGAGGTTATTAAGGATGGTTCAATTGAACCTCTCTACATGCCGTCCGACTGGAGATGTAATGGCGTCGTTTGGGTTTTGTCAATGCCAAGTAGTTAGCATAGTTCTTTGATTACTGCCGACGTAAAATTCCTTCCCTGATCGGAATTTAACTGAAGAGGCACTCCGAACCTGGAAATCCAGTGCTGTATCATTACCTCAGTTACTGTGACAGCCTCTTGATCAGGAATAGGATACGCTTCAGGCCACTTGGTGAAGTAATCAATGACAACGAGTATGTATTTGTTGCCATCAGCAGTTCGTGGCAGAGGTCCCAAGATGTCAAAGGCGATATGTTCAAACGGCGCACCTACGTTGTAACATTGCAGCTTGCCTCGGCTGCGTTTCCTCAGTCCTTTCCGACCTGCACAGGCATCACATGATCAGCACAACTTTTGCACGTCATCCTTTGCATTATTCCAGTAAAAGCGCTCACAAACTCTCTGCAAAGTTTTCATTATTCTAAAGTGACCTCCTGTAGGGCTGCTATGTAGTTCTTTAAGGACATCAGGAATCCGGGATCCTGGAAGTATCAGCTGCCATCGGAACGTCTTCCCATCATCCGATTCGAATTTCCGGTATAAGACGCCGTTTCGAATGTGAAGTGAATCCCAGAGTGCCCTATATTGTTTTGTTGTAGGACTACAGATAGAAATGTCCTGCCAGGTAAGTTTTCTGTTTGATGACTCCATTAAATCAATTATGGGTTTAATGTCGCAATCTTCCAGCTGGTCTTTTCTCACTTCATCACCATTCCACGGTTCTCGATCAGCCGATGTTGATGTTGTAATTTGTCTTGTGACGGGAGTCAGCAGCTCATATTTCGCTTACACCCTGGAACAATATTGGCAGCTTTCTGGGCAAGGTCTTCTAAACAGGGCGTCGGCGTTCCCGCGTGATGATGCCTTACGATGACGGATAGTGATGTCATATTCTTGGAGTCTCTGTATCCACCTGGCTATTTGACCCTCAGGATTCTTGAAATTTAAAAGCCAGGCCAATGAAGCATGGTCCGTGCAGAGGAGGAATTTTCTGCCGTATAGTTAATGATGGAAATGTTCTACAGCTTTGACTATGGCGAGTAACTCTTTCCTGGTGACACAGTAATTCCTCTCCAGTTTAGACAGGCACTTGCTCCAGTAAGCTACTACACGTTCTTGGCCATCTATTTCTTGGGACAAAACAGCACCAACACTTTCATTGCTCGCGTCTGTGTCAAGAATAAATGGTTTGTCAAGCTGAGGATACGTCAGGATCAGAGCAGATGTTTTAAAGCCTCCTTTAAGTTGTTAAATGCATCCTCGCATTCTTTTGTCCACAAGAATTTTGCTTGCGCTCTGTCAGCTTGTGAAGAGATCTTGCGTTTCTTTTCGACCCTAGTATGATTTTGGCAGCTTCCCGAACTGGTCTTTCGGACAAGGCGTCGACCTTTCCAGGCGAGGATCCCTGTTGAGGATGGATAGTCATGTCATCAGTTGCTGAAAGCAGTTTGTTGTTTTTAGAGTCTAAGGAAAAATTGTATTTCCTTAAAAAGTCCAATCCGAGTATGCATGGATCTGTAATATCCGCCACATAAGCCGTGTGATGGTAGGCGACACTTCCAAACATGATGTTCACGTTTAACTTCCCAGATATGTCGATCTTATCACCAGATGCAGTCTGAAGGGTAACACAGGATGGCGTCCAAATAAGTTTATCTTTAAACTGTTGAGCTAAATCTCTCCGAATGATGGTAACATTAGCTCCTGTGTCAATGATCATAATGCAAGGAACTCCATCGATGTGCCCATTGATGGACATCGATGTGACCGTTACTCTTGCCACTCACTGTAGAAATCCTGAGCGATTTAAAACAGTGTTTTGCATTATCTGGCAACCATCCGCTTCCTAAATATGGTCATTGATTTGCTTCCGGCGTCGTTGCTGAGAAATGGTCTTCAATTTCCGTACCTCTGGGGTGGTCTGCAAGTTCCTTTCGCACGTCACCTTCAGCTCCGCAGTTCCAGCACTTTGGTTTCTTCTCAAGTCCTTTCTCCGTCCCATGGCATTTAATTGTCCTGTTTAAACCCGCATATGCTCTTATTTTCCGTGCTCTGGGGTGTTCTGCAGCTCCTTCGTATGTGGACCTTTCAACGCCGCAAGTTCCAGCACTTTCAGGGTCGGTTCTCTTCTCATCAATATTCCGTCTTCAAGGCATTCACCGGTCTTGTAAAACTCATCCGTTTTATTATCCGTGCTCTGGGAGTGTTCTGCAATGCCGTCTTATGTGCCCTTCAGAATGCCAACATTCTCCAACACCTTAGAGCCACTTTGTTCTCATTCCTAATCCGTATCAAAGCATCGACTTGTCTGGATAAATCATCTAAACGAGCCATCAATTGGTCCACTGGCTTGTGGACTCGCACAGCTCTGACTGGGTAGCTATCTCTACGAGTTGCTTGCTGGGCTGCCTCGACTTTTACGGCGCACAACAGAGCGCTTCTTATGTCCTTCACATCTGCCATTCGCAGAGCTTTCTGTATTTCAGTATCCCGGATGCCGACGATGAAATATTGCAGCGACAGGATTTCTCTTGTTTCTGTCAGGCACTCCGAAAAGGCATGATGTGACAGCCTTTCAACATCCGTGGCGAGCTTCTGAAGTGTTTCGGTGGGCTTCTGTTGACGGTATTTTAGTTGAAGCCTGCTGTAGTCTTTTAAACATTTCTCACCAAAGCGCAGCTTCAATGCGCCGGATAGAGCTTCGAAGTCAAGTCTTTGGTTTTCGGGAAGCGTCTGCAGGATATCTGCTGCGTCTGCTCTCAGAGAAGCGGTGAGATGACAGGCAATAGCTTGGGAATTCCCATCCATTCGCATCCGCAACAATAGAAAACTGTGTCTTATATACTTGCCAGGAGGTCTTACCATCATATGTAGATAGTTTCAGAGAGGGATAAGCAGGCACTGGTAAAAATTTAAAACCTTCAGAATTGTTTCCTGCCGTCGCTATGCACTTCTTTAAGCTGTCAACTTCTTTGGCTACAGCAGAAACCCTATCAACAATTTGTTGTTCGATTTGGTGTTGCACGGCAGAAACTCTTCCTTCAATTAGTTCCTCTACAGCAGAAACTCTCTTTTCTATATGTTCTTTTACAGAAAAAACTTTTTCTTCTATTTCTTCTTTCACCGAAGAAACTTTTTCTTCAATTTGATGTTTTACGGAAGAAACTTTTTCTCCAATTTGTCCAAATTTATTTTCAATTGTGTCAATTCTAACTTCTATAGCTTCAAATTTATTTTCTATTATGCAGGTAAACTCTTTTTTTATTTCCTCTTGCCCTATTTTCACTTCCTCTTTAACAGCTTTCATCTCTGCCTTAAAAGATTCCTGAACAACATCCATCTTTTCCTTAACAGTTTCCTATCCCAATTTCATTTCTTCCTGTCGCGCTTGAATCTTTTCCTGTACGGATTTTTGACCAGCATCCATTTTCTCTTTAATTTCTTCTTTAAAAGATGTTTGGCCAGCTTCCATCTTTTCTTGGAACGCAGCAAAAGCAGTAATGAGCTGTCTCAATTGTTCTTCCATCTCTCTTGTTATTGGCATTCAAATCCCACTTCTGACACCAAAAATTGTTGCGTGCGTACGGGTTCGTTATGAAATGAATGCACAAGTCCGATGAAAAATGAACAAAAATGTATTATTATCACAACAAAAATGCTTAAATTTTCTCAAATTATCATGCAGTATTACAATATCTCACAGTAGTTATCTTTTAACTACTCAAATGTCCAATAGAATGTAATTCAAAACAGCTAAAGAAAGCTAATCTACGAATTCGCCACAATCAACAAGAGCAGTTTCCTAAACAACAACAAACTAAGCAACTACTATGAACTGAGATGTTTTCCTCCTTTTATAAGATTTTAAAATCACGCGCTAGAATTTTCTAGTACTTTCTCGAAATCAAAAAGAGATATTTATTTATTTAATGCATGCGCTCTTGTATTTTCAATTTTCCAGCTTTGTTTTAATATTCGTCACGCGCTGCACTGAGCGAGAAATAAAACCATTTAATTTATAATTGAACTAATATTAGCTTTTTAAATACCAAATTCGTAACAGTATTTATATAAAAGAATTCCTGCTATAATCAACCTGTGACTGTAAATACTTCTCAATATGCTGGTAGAGGCAGAACAGAGAATTACTATGCCTATACAGAAGCACGTGTTGAAATAACAAACACATTTGAAAATATTTAAAATTTATGCAAACTGTCTATTTTTTACAATTTGAGCTATTTTATACATTACTACTAGTAAATTTGTATAAGAATTCATGATTTTCAAATTAAAAATCTAAGCAGGAAAATTTATTAATCAAAGCAACACGAGACTAAAGATTACATGAGAGAAATTCACATTTAAATACTAATAGAGGAGAAATTTGAATATAATGGCAGGAAAACTATCTACATCTGCAATACATGCAGTTAAAAGCATGACAAATGTACAATTATATTCCAAACATTTTAAAATAGATTTAAAAAGAATCCTACATTAGGAATATATTTGCCTGATGTTAAAGAAAGGTTGTTCTTTATATGAAATAGAAATTAACTTAAAAGATCCTTTTAGTTAGAATGAGCCTTTAAATTTTTAATTAAAATAACTAAATACGATTTTAAATTCAATCCATAAGATGTTTGAAATCACATGCTGATATTATTTGATGATTTTATTATTAAAATATATTAAGATAAGAATAAAACACAATTCCTGCTAACTTTCGGATAGAAGAAATTCTAGCACTGACTGCTTGAAAACAGAAATAAAATGGATTGTTTGAAAATAACATTACTAGAAATAAGAAACTTATGAAAATATTAAAACATAGAGTTAAAAGAATGAATACCGTATTATATGTATGAACAGCAAAAATACCATGTTACTGATATATACAATGTCAGAGCATTACTAGCTGCCATTCAAGCAAAGAATCACATAGTATAATAAAAGAAAACAGACTTTAGATTGTTAAGCTAGAAACTTAACAGCTTCCTTTCTTCAAAACCAAGTACATCATAATATTAATAGAATATAAAATATTCAATTAAAAAAATTATAAAATTGCATGTTGCTCCCATTATTAAACAGTCAGCACACGTGCTGGGGTAAAATCCACCCCACGTGTAGTCTTTTCTTAGAAAATAAGGGAAGGTCGTATGTGACCTTTCTAGTAATTCATGTACCTTTTAAGATCAAGGTTAGGAAGGGGTCATCCAGAGAAATTTTTCCCGTGTCCTTGGGATTTTGTGTTTCTTCGGGAAAGGAATGTGCAATGGGATTGTAGCTACCCCGCACGTGTACTAATGTTTCACTTCTAGAGAGACATTCATTAAGATGAGTGCACACGAGATAGAAGAGTAACGACAGCAGGATATTCTCGCTAGTGTTGAAACTGATAACGGAATTGAAGATTACAATTTTGAGTGCGATAATATTTCTGAAAGTGTTCAAGAAACTGACTCTGACCAGTAATATGATGATTCACATGATTTAGGGAGCATATCTTCTTTGACATCAGATGATTTTTATGTTTGAAAATATGGAACAATTTGAAATAAAAAATTACCCTCAAAAAAAGGTTCGGACATGGCCATACAATATAGTGACACATTTCCTGGTGTCAAAACAAGCTTTAGAAATTTGAAAAATCCAACTGAGTGTTTATTGCAAATTTTTGATGAAGAAATAATGGAAGATTTGGTGAAACTACAAACATTTACATTTCATCAATAAGAAACAAATCTTCTAGAGAATGTGATGCACAAGAGACAAATGTAGCTGAATTGAAGGCATTGTTTTTCTTATTATATTATGCTGGAGTGCTGAGAGCAGGACTTCTCAAAGCAAAGATTTGTGGTCAGCTGAAGGAAGCTGTTTGTCAAATAACAATGTCTATCAACCGATCCCACTTCCTGTTGAGGTGTATTAGGTTTGATGACAAATTTACGAGCAGAGCGAAAGATGACGGCTAGACTTGTACTTATTAGAAATTTTTTTGAAATATTTGTCAAAAACATATGAAAAATATATTTTTTATCTGAATATTGTACTATAGACGAAAAATTAGAACCCTTTTCGAGAAAGGTGTCAATTCAGACAATATATAAAAAGATATTACCCAAGATATGGAATAAAAACTTTTGCTTTGTGCGATTCTCATACATTTTATGCATACAACCTAGAAATTTGTGCAGGTCAGCAGCTATATAGATAATCAAATGTGGCATTGGATGTTGTACAAAGCATTGGATTGCACCCATAAGTGGCACTGAAAGAAATATATAAATATGGACAATTGGTACATGAGCATTCCTTTGGCCAATGAATTATTGAAAAAGCACAAATTGACATGTTTTGGGATGCTTCGGAAAGATAAACATGAAATTCCAGAAGAATTTCTACTAAATAAAACAGGCTTCTGTACTCTTTGCGTTTTGGGTTTAGAGGTAAAGAATTATCTCTTACTTCATATGTTCCAAAAAAAGAGTAAATCGGTTCTTGTTCTATCACCCATGCATGAGGATAATCAAATCGATCCATTGTCTAAAGAGCAGCTCAAGCTCGAAATGATAACTTTTTGCAACTCTACAAAAGGTGATGTTTATACTGTTGATGAGTTATGTGGAACTTAGTCTGTTTCAAGAAAATGCCACCGCTGGCCTCTAACGGTATTTTTTGGACTAATGAACATTGCAAGTATAAAGCTTTTATTATTCATAGATCAAATAACGACCAAACGAATATGAACTGAAGAGCTTTTCTCAAAGATTTAGCATTAGAGCTTGTAAAAGCTTCTATCTCTCTTGAAAGAACTCAAAACTGGAGTAAAAAGGTTGGCAGAAATAGAAGATGTAGCAGACCTTCACCCTAAATATGTTGTCACCGTATGCGAGGATTGTTCAAAACGACATTATTTGAATAATTAAACTCAGGTTGGGGGGCGGAAAACCTACGTGTTATTTATATTTTTTAATATTTGTATATAGAATATATTTTTTGATATGAATAATTGTATGACATTATATTGAGTTTTAAGGAAAAAAGCTAGTGAGAATGCAGCCTTTTCATATTCCTCTAGTGCTTTATCAAATCACTCTTTATAATAAACACTTATGCTTAAAAAATATGTACATATGAAAACTGATTTTTCTAATATAAGAAATCATATATGTATCTTATATAAGTTAGTAACTTTGCATAAATTTCAATTTTTATGGCTTACTTTAGGTCACCAGTATGGAAATATTTGTATAACTTAAAGTAAGATTATCTCGAATTAAAACTGGAAAAAAAGTTTAACAAAATTCACAAAGCTATTAATCATTTATACATTCATTTAAAACAAAGAAAATGCATTTATTTATACCTTGGGGGGGGTGAACTCCGAAAAACAAACACTGGGGTAAAATTTGTCCGGCGCGTGTGCTGAAGGGTTAAACTTTTTTCATATTTTTTATGTATAACTAACATATAAAAGTATTGTTCCTTATGCGTAAAAAATTTATTTCTGCAATTGGACTGAGAGACTTATTTAGTTATGACGTAATTTATGAAAAGGCTAGCAACAGGCTTTTCACCACCCTGTGCAGATTCTGCCACCTAGTTTCTTCCTAAATTTTAAAAGTTTTGCTGCCTGGCATAACTGCACTGGCCCTGATTTATGCTAAACATATATGAACATAATAATAAAGGCAATCTTACATACAAATTAGACTGAACTGCTATGTATAATGGCATGAAACTTTTGATATGGTGATTTCAGTCAGAAAGTTAAACTACTCATTATATATTATGTTTAAATTGCACCTTGCCAAAAAAATATGTCTATGTTACTTGACTGATAAAGTTAAAAAACATACATACAGAAAGAAAGCTATATTACATGTATATATTTACCACTATTAAATCTATAGGAATAGGCATCTTAAGTTTCTCTTTAAGCCTTCCGTCAATCTGTTCCTTAAAAATGGCAAGTACAAATATTGCAACAGCCGAAACAGCAACAGTCGCACCATTCAAGTGAATTAAGTTTTCAAAAACATCTCTTAGCATCTAGAAACAAAAACATATACAAAATATAGAAAACAAAACTGTAACTACTTAACTGAAATGTACATTTCTTATTAAGATATACAGAATGTAAAATGGGAAGAAAATAAATATACAGGCTACGGCATTGAAATTTTCTAAAATATCCATTTTAGAAAACCACAAGAAGGCTGAGAAAATGCTTTAATTTCTTAACTTGATCCTTTATTTTTACCTATTTTAAAAGATTTTATGAGACTTCTGAAAAACCTTAAATAAAAAGAAACCATAAAAATCACACAATAAAGTGTAAGAACACTTTCAACTATAAAACTTTAAGCAAAGATGAATAACAATCAATGCAATATTACTGCATGATTTAAAATGAAATTAAACTTCTTACTTCCTTGATCTGAATTAGTTACAATTCCATATATTTATTACAAAATACATTGCAATAAATAAGAATATTAAGAGGGAGATAATACAATAGGTAGATTTTTAAATGAAAAGCGTGAAGAAAAGCTTATCAATAAGGGGAGAAGAGTGTTATGGACTAGTAAAACTGTATCAGATGTAAGATGAATAAAATACATTTCACAAGAAAAATAAAGGAAAAAAAAATGTGAATTTATTTATATAATATATTTAACATCATGCAGGGTCTTAAGGGTTTCTTATTTATGCCTTCTCTAAGCTCAGTTACCAATCTGTTCTTGGATTCACTCTTACTAATACAACTTCCTCTTTTTAACTTCATTATCTGTTTTAATTCATTATTAAGCATCTCTTGCTTCACACTAACGCCACATAAAGTTATAAAAATTTTAGCAGCAGCATATTTTTAGAGTTTCCATTAAAGAGTGTCAAGTATTGCCATAATTTAAGGGAAAAAAAATTCAGTCTTTTCTTAGTTCAGCATATCAATGCTAAGTTTCTCAACAAGATGACTTACACAACTTTTTTTGTCTTTTCAACTTTATTTTTAAATATCACTTTCTTCCCATTTATGCCACATAAAATTCTGCAGCAAAACCACACATTTTTTAAAAGCAATATATCTTTAGAATTCTCGATGCAGTACGAAGTTCTGACACATATTTTTTAGCCCAGAAGGGCTATTAATTTCAAATCTAACTTATATAACCACTTTTCAAGGAACTAGCCACTGGGTTCGGCCAACCAACTAAATTAATTACTGTAAAAAAAAAAAGAAACTATACAATGCTTTTAATAAATCCTGGAATTTCACAGGACTAGCTAGTAATTAATGACGAAAAAAATCTGAGTTTACTGCTTTTAAATCACTTAGTTTGCTAGTCAATAATCGAGAGATTAAATTTCAAAGTGAAATATTTTAGGCAATACTTAATAGCAACATGCTTCCATGTGGGAGATAAAAGTGTTTTACTTCAAACAGTAGCAACATATTGTTCTTAAATACCCAAGTTTGTTGATTAAAAATAAAAGACAAATATCCTACATTTTATTAAATGGCAAAATTCTAGTGCAATGGAGATAAAAATTTTTTACTTCTAGCAGGACTGGAATGACTCACTTGAGTTTGTTGGCAAAATATTCATTAAATTCATACGAAATAAGAAATACATTTTAAAAGCATTGATATCCAAAATTCTGGCTTTGAGGTTTAACATATACAGGTGAAGGACTATGTGTGTTCAAAACGTGGTGGCTCTAAGTACTGATGATTTTTTAGAATACATACATATAGGTAACATTCAAATAACAGAATGTACATACAGATTCTTAATAATTTAATTATAGATTTGAAAATGCTTTGAAAAGTGGCAACACGTTTGAAAAGCGATAAGGACAAAAAAAGCAAACTTGAAACTAATAACACCTTTTGTGCTAATTATAATAACTTTTCATTTGCTTTCTTCTTAAGAGAGACAATTTTTGTTTATTGCTCATGAATGAAAGCCTGAACTTTTATTTAAATATCCCCAAACTTTAAGAAAATGCCATAAAAATTTTCCTGACCCTTCCAGGTAAGTGAGAACTTTGTAGTGGTTAAAAATAAGTGAAGTCTTTAATTTTGGCCATTACAGGATTAACAAAAAATATCAAACCTATATCTATGATGGCCACTGCAGCTGCCAACTTTTTCCCCCTAGATGACTACTAAAAAATGGTATATTCCAACAGTAGTTTTTAATGAGTAATATTTTTATAAAAATGGCATACCAGTCTTTTTCAATTGAACCTTGAAAAATGATCTTCACCAGAATAACACATACAATAACTTGCAATTTCTTAAAGAGGATATGATCACTCGTAGTTCAACAAGTTTAGAAGAACCATGCTTTTCTCAACCCCTACTCCCAAACAAGATTAAAACAGTGTTTCTCTATATCTATTGTCTTCAGACAACAATTGATCTTCATAGCTTGCCCCTGTTATCCACCTAGATCAGTGTTTCTCAACCATTTTTTGCTCCATACATCCCTTTTATCATTGCTAGACACCTTCCTCGATTTTTAAATTCGAAAAATACACATACCTTTATTTAAATTTAGATTATTTTTTTAATATGTTTTATAAATTAAACAAGAAAATGTATAGAAAACGATAAATAACAAAACTTGAATAAAAGTAGTTTTTTTATATTTATAAAATAAAACTAAATACTTGACAGGTCAATAAAAGGCTGACCGTGTCTCCTCCTGAAGATATAAAATTTCCTCCCCAGTTGAGAACCCCTGTCCTAGGTTAACACTGATATAAGATTAATTGAATTTAAAGTAACTGTATTTAAAAAATGTAAGTAACATATGCTAAATTAATTGCTGGCAAAGGGGATAAGAGTAAGATGTTGTACAGAACATTCTAATTCATAAAATTGGTTCCCATTTGAAAAAAGTTTGAGAAATATCGGATTAGGAGGTTTCAACTTGTTACAAAACCTTTTCATTGTTTACAAGTAGAATATTATAAGTACTTTTTGATTATCTGCATCTCAAGCCCCCCCCCCAAATTGTAAACTCGTTGACAACCTTGGAGAGAAACATATGTTTGAGCATCCTGACGTCTATTTCAATGATGCATCCAGCGCTATCTATTTTTTTACTTTCTTCTCTTTCCATAGAAGACACTTCTCACGGGTAACTGAGGTTTGTCTTTTGGAATTATCTCATTTCTTCTTAAGACTTTCACTGACTTATATTCCTTTCTCCAACAACAAATAAAGCAAATTGTTGTTATAAACAAGATGCAGCAATCTTCAATCCAGTTTCTGACCCATATTTTAATTGCTCTGCTAGTAAATTTTCCCATTGCATATTCATAAAATTTGCTTGTTTAAGAAATAAATTCTCATTGAATATGAACTTCTGCATTTTCTACTGTTAGGCAAAATGCCATATTTCTGAAAGTCGAATTTCAAAACATCAAATCCACATATGCTACATGCATACCCAAGTTATACTATATACACAGTTATTTTTATAAATTAAATGTGAAAACAAAGTTTTAACTTAGCCTCTTAAGAAAATACCAATTTAGTGTTCATCTCTTAATTTTATACTTGAAGAAAGGAAAAGAAAAAAAAAATTCTTTGGTATAATTTTTTTCACAAATTTTTCCCACACACCTTCGCCCCCTTGTTTTTTGTTGATGCATTACTATGTAGCATTTTTTTAAAACATTGTTCAAGTTAGAAACATGAGAATTATATGATTGTTAACTACCATACAAACCTAAAGACAAAAGTGTAATCATGAAGTATGCAACCTACCATTCTTAGTTATTTTTTAGATGATGGTGCTAAAATTAGTTGTTGTTTTAATCATTCCCAGTTCCACTATTTTAGAGCATGTTAAATTAAAAAACAGCACTTTAGTGGCACCATCTAAGCTATAAATAACTAATCAAAAGAGCAGTAAATTGCATACTGCATGATAACTGACAAACTAAAACTTTAGTTCCAGAAAAGATTTTAGGGTTAATTCTGAGGCAAAATATATTGCTACAAATGCTTTATGAAAGAAACACAGTAAAGAACTTGGAATATGCATGTTAACTTGAAAGAATTACTGAATGACAATGCTTTCTAAGTCGAAATGTTTACATATTGAAATTAAAATGAAAATATTATCTATCAAGCAATATGCTTATTATAACAACAATTTTACTCACATAAATTAATTTTAAAGGTCCACTGTAACGTCCAATGTGAATGCCAAATAAATCTTTCATCTGAGATACTGCGACATGACAAGCAGCACCTGTAGTAAAACCAGATACCAGTTGATCAGATAAGACAACAGTAAGTGAGCCAAGCTGAAAAACACCCATGAAGAGCTGCAATATAAATTTTAAAAAAGGGAGGTTACAAACCAGATATTTAAAAAAAATATCTTCATTAACAGTACAACAGCTGTTGTAATAAAAATTAAATAAATTTGTATGTAAATTTAAAGTATATGGTTACTTATACATTATACCATCGACTGTGAAAGTTGGCAGAGATCCCACAAAAGTTGTAACAATCATTTCTGTAGAATTCTGAAGGAATTAACACCTCTTTATTGAATAAACATTCAGTATTTGACTCACTTGACAAAGAAAGCTTTTCTTTCTTGATTTCTAGTATTTTGTTAGGCTCTTTGATCTTACCAGAAGTTTGGTTTGGAAAGCTATGAATACAAACTTCCTGCAGATAATCATTCCAATCTATTACTTGTTTGTTGGTCATATGCAGCTACATCATGTCCATTAGGACACTCTCCCTTTTTTATGATATGACACCATAACTTTGAAAATAATCCATTGCTTACTGTTTTGTAGAAAGCAGGTCCCAAATTTTTATATATTTTTTTTTTTTTCAAAATATAAAGGGGAAAATATAGCAATATTAGTTAATTTAAAACCTTGTTAAAAAAAAAAAAAGGCTTGTTGACAATTCACTGAGGTTATCTCAAATGAACGTGCAGATGTTATGGGTATTTGTTAAGTCACGCTTACACATAATTGGCACTAAACTGTACTGCTTAGTGACAGTTTCATGGTCATCGGGATAATAGATAAGTACCTATATTTTTCAACAACATTACATTCAAAATAAATAATAAGCCCTTTTGCTGAAAAATATATATGAATTATCAACTCATTACGCACAACCTTAGTAGCATATAATAACTTCTCTGCAGATGAATTACTTTAATTCAGAGCAGAAAGAAAAATGTGCAGAGATTATGCAGTCTTATTAAGCACTTAAAATATCTAGCAAAAACATCATTTAATTTCATACCTAATCATATTTATCTCTCTTTGTCTAATTCAATATGAGATGAAAAAATGCCAGCATAGCTTTAAAAATGTTAAAAACTTTAAATATGTACTAAGCTACATATGAAATCTCCATTTACCTAAATTTTGTGTATTAATTAATATGCTTCAGATAAATAATAGTTTTGCCAGTCTAGTAGAATGATAGGACTTTGGCTAACTGGCACCTTTATTTAATCTCAGCTCCATGAACTGCTGTTTTTTATTGGGCTAATAAAAATAGCCAATAAAATAAATAATTTTATTGGGCCACATAAAAAATAGGCTATTATCAAAGGCCACACACATTTAATTAAACTGAAGGTTAGGATCACAGAAGCAATTACAGAGCATGTTTACACATTTTTAGAATGATTTTGGGACCGTTTAATTAATGTTATAAGTGTTGATAGTATTTTTTAAATGTTCAATTTGATAGCTTTTTATCTAAACTCTAAATCTGCACAATGATTTCCATAGAGATTTTTGTAAAACTTCCATTCCTCTTCCACTAATTTTCAAAGTTCATCCACTATTTGGGGGGCGAGGTGGACTCAGAAAAAGCTTTTTTCAAAACATGAAAGACTTAAGAGCTCATAGGTGAAATGTCAGGGGACTTTGCAGGACTATCTTGAAAAGATTTACATGCAATACTTTTATAAGCCTTCATTTTTTCAAAGAATGCAATGACACTAAGTATGACTTGCTGCTTTGTCTTCTTCACTCTTTAAAAGTCATTCGGATAAAGAAATGTAATTTTTTCTGTAAATATTGGATGCAAAACTTTTGGATGATAATATACTGATTTGATTTTAACATTTTATTCCACTCTTCTTATTTTCAATTTTCTATTAGAAGCAAATCTCGTGGCAATCATAATCCCCTTAATGAAACTTTCTTCAGGCATTAACAGAATTATATCTGCACATTTTTTTCACCCCCTTTTGACAATCATAATCCCTTACTGAAATTTTTCTGAATTAATGGAACCATGTTTTTACATTTTTTGTCTCTTCGTTTTTCATAATAAACACACCTTTTTTTGTTGCAGTCTTTTAGGTAAACCCATGCTCCATCATAGGTCACAATGCATTTACATTTATCTCCTGCTACTCAATTTTCATAGAGGATTCTACAAGTCGTTCTGTGTTAAGCCATATGCCTTAACACAAGCCGAAGAACATTATGTTGTTTAGCCTTTTTTAAGCTGTAAATCTTGATTTATTATTTTATTTATTGTTGCTACAGATGTATTTAAAGACTTTGCATTTGATTTATGCATCAGCAGATTTTCTCTTGTTACCAATGATTTAATTTTAGAAACAGTATGCACCCACTTTAGGTATTCATTTGGAGTTTTCTATCTATGCCTGAGTAATGATCAATGGGTTTCCCCTTTCTAATTAATAACGCCGCTTATTTTGAGCTCGCAAAAATGTAGCCTTCTGTTGCAGTTTTTTAAATGCAATATTTTGAAAGAAGGATATATTTAAAAGTAGCAGACAGTATTTTCCATTTCAAGTAATAAGTTGTTGGCAAAAATTTTTATTCTAAAACATTCGCTTTTTTTTTTTTTTTAATTATTCTTTATTGAAATCACTTTAAAAGTGTGGAAACACCCTCTGTATTTCAGGCCTAATTCTCCTTTTGGTTCACTTGAAAACAATGACAACAAACTTTATATCTAATGGCCAAACACTTGTTTATTAATCTATTTCATTCCCATTTCTCTGGGAATTACTGCATTTCATAACATAAAAAGATAAATTAAAGGCAACGTATTTTTGCCTGGGAATTTTATAGGAGATATTTACATTCCCAGCACTGAGATATTAATAAAAATATATAAAAATCCTAAGAAACTAGGATCTCAGGAGATAAATCCTAAACAAAATCAAATAATTTCGGACATCTGCTTTGCTCTCCTTACATTACATGCATGTATCCTTATTTTAGCATAATGTCATTAAGTTGGTTTACTTTTTACTTAAAAAAATAATAAAACTTAACCATAAAATTTAAGGACAATAACTTATATTATTTAAGAAATAAAGAATTTTATAAATCAGTAGTCTGCAGGTCTAAAAATTTTAATTTGTGGGTAACATACCTGCCAAAATCCAACAGCCATTGCAACAGATGTTGCAATCTCTAAATGGGTAGGTGGCCATGTTTCTGCATTTTCAAGGGATGTACTTATATTTGAATCAGCAGATGTTGTATTTCTGTCAACAATGGCATCTGTACCATACATAGCACTACTCATCATTAAACTCATAACAGCAAATGTACCTGAAATATAAATACATAGCACAAAAGCCTCACTGAGTCAAGATTAAGTTGAGTACTTCATGCTTGTTTAAAAAAAAAAAAAAAAAAAAAAAGAGAGAGAGAGAGAGAGAGACCGAAAGTTTAATAAATTAATAAAAAATACATTTATGAAGTTGTTAATGCACACAAACTTGTTTTCGCTCATAGTTTATTATATTTAGAAGACAACAAATTATAAGTTAAAAAACATTTTATTACATCAATTTGGTTAAAAATTTAAGTTCTTTTGAATTCTATCAGTTCTTTTCACACAGTTTTATCTTTCAAATAAGACATTTCTTGAACTAAATGCTTGATACAATGCATAAATACAAATTTTTTTTTTTATCAGTGCTTTATTTATGTTGCCATATTGTATACATATACGACGACAGATCAAAAAGTAAGTTGCACTTCCAAGTGTGACCATTTATTAAATTGTCGATACAAAAGCAGCGCGGCTTTGTGAGCAATGTAAGTTCACTTTTCAACATAGTTCCCAAGATACTCTAAAAATTTCTCCAAACAGACAAGCAACTTTTCGATTCCAGATGCATAGAAATCTCCTCCGGCGCTATATAACCACATGGAGACAGCTGCTTTCACCTCCTCATCATTTCGGAATCGCTGTCCACCGAGATCCTTTCTAAGGTTACCAAAAACATGAAAGTCCCATGGCACTAAATCAGGACTGTATGAAGGATGTTGCTATACCTCCCACTCGAATCGCTGTAGCAGGTTGTACCGTTTGGCTCACCTTGTGAGGTGTGGCGTTATCGTGCAACAAAATCACACTGTTGCTCAATTTTTCCCAGCACTTTTCTTTAATTGCTTTGCATAATTAGGTCAACATTTCACAATATGCATCCAAGTCGAGTGTCATTTCTTTCGGCATAAATTCCACGTGAACCAAACCCTCCATGTCAAAGCCCACTGCCACCATCACATTTCCTGCTGAATGTTGGACTTTGGCCTTCTTTCATTGTGGTGATGAGGTGTGCACCCATTCCATCGATGTTCTCTTCATTTCGGGAGTGAAGTGGCGAATCGATGTTTCATCCCTGAGATGATTCTCCTTAGAAACTTATTGCCCTCTGCAGAATATTGTTGTAAAAATGCCAGTGAGGGTTCAAAATGCTGTCCCTTGTGAGCATCGATGAGAAGACGTGGGACCCATCTTTGGCACAGTTTACAAAATCCAAGGTCTTTGCTCGAAGCTGAAGTATGCTGAAATGATTTCAATTAAAAAAAAAACTATGAAATGGATTTACCCCATTACTTTAGTGCAGATGTGGAAATACTAGATTCCAAAGAAGGGAGGACTTTAACTTTTTAATAAAAAAGATGTCAATGGCTAATAAAGTACTATAGCAGCAACCGTCAAATTGTGGTTTGCATATTACAGGTCCTCAAAGCTTACCTATGTGGAACTTCTAGATTTGCAAAAATGTCCTGTTACTTTTAAATGAAATTAACAAGATTTTTAAATTTCTTGCAGATGAATACAGTCAAGTATATTGGCATATCTTTCAGATGTATTCTCAAAATTAAATAAATTAAATTCTTGTCTAGAAGATAAGTCTTTGACTGTTCATGCCCATAAGAAACTGAAGAGATTTGAGAGAAAACCTGGTTTGTGGGTTAGTTGTAAAACAGAGAAATTTTTACCATTTCTAACTTTAGAAACTTTTTTAGTAGAAAATTATATCATTACTGGAAAAGAATTATGCAAGGACATACATTTGCATCTTGAAACTATGAGGTACAATTTGAAATATATTTTCTAGCTGGTAAACATAACTTTCATGGGTTCTTGATCCTTTCCATACTGATTTTGAAAATAAGTAACTGTCCTTGAATGAAAGAATATATTAATTAAATTCTCTAACCACACCAAACTTAAGATGAAATTCTTAGCAGAAGACATTGCCAGGCTCTTCCATGCCATTAAAGTATTTAACTCTTAGTTAATAAAATAAGGATTACCCAAAATAGCCTTAAATTATTAAAAACAGATACAACTTTTTTTAATAACTGCATTTAAAAAATATGAGAATACTGGTAGGTACACATATGCTAAAAAAAATTGCTTTTGAAGGGAAAAAGAATCAGGTGGTCTGCAGAACATTCTAATTTATATAAGTGGTTCCCACTTGGAAAAATTTGAAAAAAAATGCTGCACTAAAAAATTTCGAATTGAGAGAGCTACAAGTTTGATATTAGCTGATTTCTTACAGTTATGATTACATTTTAGCATTAGATGAATTGCTGTCTCAAGGTTAGTGATGAAGTCCTCATGTATATGACTATTCAGAGCAAATGTTTTTCTCAGTTTTGAGATATTTGCTGGAATCTTTAACAAGTGTTAGTATATGAAAATAAAAGACTGCAAAACATTTTTGTGATAACATTCTGAAAATTATGGCTCTTAGAGTAAGCATATAACAGTTTAGAATTAAACATTTGATTAACAAGACAGTACCACTGACTTCAAAGAATATGCATATTGATAATAACCATAGATATTAATGCTTACAGTATTATTTGGCCTCAAAGATAATTTTTAGAATAATATGCAGTGTTTTTCAGATAACACTGCATATTATTTTTTTTCAATACTGCATATTTCATAAATAAAATTCCAGCTTTCATTTCTTTATTGAAACTGATTACTTGTATCCTGCATTAAAATAAGAATAATAATCAAAAGGTGATTCATGTAGTGAATCTAAGATAGACCAACTTCAAAGATATTTATTAAATTAATTTATTCCAGAAAAGGAATTAAGATTTTACGCATGAAAATCTTGAATATAATGTTTAAGGAAACTTTGGAAAGTTACCTTAAACATGCACAGAAAAATCTCTACGAGAAGTTTTAAAATTTAATGTCATTACATTCAAGTTTTGGTACTTGTCTTTCAGTTTTTAGAATTATAATTCAGTATAGCCTTGGGGTGGGGGAAAGAAACGGCATTACCGCAATTCAGGCATAAGAAAGTATGATTTGTTGCCAAATGTTATAAACAACCTCAAAATAAAACCGACTTATCCTCCAAAATAAACTAAAGTAACTGATAAATCAAGAATTCATAGCACTTTATTTAAAATAATAGCATAATTCAAGAAAACTTATTTAACATATACCTTTATATATGTTACCGTGAAAGACCGAAATTGGAGAATGTCGACTTTCATAGGAGAATGTCAACATTCACCAAATACGTCTGTGAAAGATCGAATATTTCTTTACATTCTTGTACATTCGGACCCTCACCGGTGTATGTCGACAATCACAGATATGCTCTGGTGTAGGTCGAAAAGAGAGGAATATATGTACACGCTGCCATTCCAAAAGGAAGTGTTCCACAAATAAATGCAGTTGTAAAAGCAAGGGCCTCTTGTGCAATTCAAAGTGTCATAATAGTTTAAGTTATTGCAATAAATAAGATTTGAATCACATAATTTGGTAAGTTTATAACTTCTATTATTTTCCTTTCTCATTTTGAATGTACAGTGTGTTTTAAGTTCTTATTCTGAGTCTCAAGTGCGTTTTTTCGCAAATGAATTACGGAGAAGGAAATATAATATTCTTATATGTTCAACATTCACCATTAGTACATGGTGAATGTCAACATTCATCGGTGTAAGTCAGAAATAAAGAGTATTTGGAAAATATTTCGGACATACACCAAGCGACTATGTGAATGTTGACATTCACTGGTGAAAGTCGACATTCTCCAGATTTCGGTGTTTCATCATAACATATATATATAATACAATTATGAAAGCAATTTATTTAAAATAAAAATGTGGGAAAATTCTATTTATTATTTATTTTATACAATTTCGTTTGCAGTTTATTTTAAAAAAGCAACACATAAGCATCTAAAAATTCACTTTTTGCAGGCCTTTTCTAGTGGCCAATACATCTTCTTTTCCTATTGATAGACCATTGAAAACACTAAGCACAATAAGTAGTGTACAATGAAAAACACAATTTTATGAAGCACGGCAATTATGAAAAACCAGTTACATCATTAATCGTTTGCTACTCGTACATGCACAGAACGGTAATTGTTTGTTTCTTACATATGCACAGATCAGTAACTGTTTGTTTCTTTCCAACGCAGAAACATGTCAGATTCACTTCTCACCAAAGCCACTACAAAAGGCAAGTACCCAGTTTTCTTTACTCAACTTATATTCGTTCTTTTTCCTTTTCATTCTGCCCATACTCTTTTCATAAAGACTAATACAATCAAAAGTTGTTAATCCGGACTCGTCGGGACTTCGGTGATTCCGGATTAGCGATTTTTCCGGATTATATATCATCAGTTTAAATTTGGTAAGATGGCATGCAGAAATTATAAAATTAAAAATATGAAACCGTAATTTATGAAATAAAGAACAATTATGTTCTAAAGGGTATCAAAATTTACAAAAAAAAAAAAAAAACTTAATATTTATTTGTTTACTTTATTAAACATTTCTTTCAATGTAAGTTGTTTAAGTTGCTTGGTTTTTTATGTGATAATACATTCTCTTTAATTCTTTAAACAGACATAATTTCTTGCTCAATTACAAAGTTCCGCTGTTCTCTCTCAAGTCCTATAATTGCTGTGTCGAGAATACCGACTAATTTGTTAATTGAAATTTTTTCGTTTTCAATAACCTCTGTCACTTTCTTCGCTATCGGAAGCGAATTATAATGACGAGGAATTTGTTTTAAATCATATCAAAGATGGAGTACATCGAGATGAAATACTACATTTAATAAGGAATTATAAGCCAAATAAAATAAAAACATCTGCTCTAAAGATAAGGATAGTGCTGACAGATCAACTTCCAATTCATTGCACCGCGCTGTGGCGTTAAAGATAAACAAAATTTAGATAACAAATGATATGCCTTTATCCATTTTTTGTAGCAATTCCACTTTTTGTTTAATGAACTTCGAAACATACTTTTGCTTTGTAGAT